GAGCCGGCCGCTGCCGTGGGGTGTGCGGGCCCCGTGCGCGCTGCTGGCCTGTGTCTCCCGTCCGCAGGGTCTCTTGCGGGGGGGGAGTGCCAGGAGCTGGCAGGGTGCTCATGTGTCTCGGTCTTTGTTTCATGCCTTTCTGGCCTGTGAAGGAAGAACGCCAGCTGCGGGACAAGGAGTGCCGGCCGTGCCACGTCCACGGGCACCGGTGGGATGTGGCGATTCTACACTGAGGACTCTCCAGGGCTCAAAGTGTAAGTTGGACGTGCAGGCACGGGAGCTGTACGTTTCCTCTGCTTATTCTGTCTTTGAATTGAGAGTTCAATGTGCTGGTCTGCATGGGATAATGTGCTGAATTCTTGGCTGCTTAGGTAGACTTGGGATGAAATATTTAATCTGTAAACCTGGAGAGGTAGTTTTAAAAGTCATAGTGGCCTTAAAAAGGTAGGTACAAGTTATATTTTGTAATTGGCTATAGACGCACCATAAGTGGTTTTGAAGGCTGCAGAGTTGGGAAACATTACTCGTTGCAATGAATTTAGCCATTTACATGCATGTTCTTGTTCTCTTTTAATTAAAGCTTTTTTTTTCTTTATTAATAGGTATGTTATGATCCTGTGCTTTCCCTGTCCCCTCTAGAAAACATAACTGATAGGCAGTGTGCTTGCAGAATCTCAAGTGTTTTTATTGAAAAGCTGAAGATAAATTATATTAGCTGAACTTGCAAAGTGAATAGCATTGCAGTACCTTGCAAGTCTCTGTTTTTACAAGGTGAATATTCCAAGATTGTGGTCAAATAATCTGGTGGTAGTGTCCCTTAAGCTGTAAAGAGAGTCTGGCTTTTTACTCCTTGGCCAGTCTGAGTCACTCTGATAAATTCTCCAAGTAAGCTTTGCAGCCTGCTACTTGGGTAACAAAAGAGGAAGGTGTATTTCACCTGATGGATGTGCTGGCATAACCTGAGTGGGTAGTTTGTGCTTCTTGCAGAGTTATACTTTGAGGCCTCTTATTATTACTGTGTTGAAGAGATGAAACACTCAGGGATATGCCCATTGCGGCTTTTTTTTTTTTTTTAAATCCATTAATTTTTTATTTTGGAGTGTTTTAAAAGTGCTACTGCTGGCTGCAGGAACAGAACATTTTGGGAAGAGCTGGTCATAGTCTAGCTAGTGACTGTGCTGTGAGCAGTCCTTCCCCTGAAGTTGTCTTACATGTTTTCGTATGTATATTTTAAAAACCAAAAATTATACAGCAAACCATCCAAGTAGTGGTATTTTGCTACTGCAGGTCTTGCTTTCTCCATTCTGGATCCAGAGAGGAGACAAGGCAAAGAAAAGAGTGACCAACAAGAGTGTTCTAGAGCAAATCTATGCACGTGGGCAAGGCAACTATTTGATGTGTTGTTTGGTCTACTAAAGCTCAATTAAAAAAAAAAAACAAACTGAGGGGAAAAAAAATGTGTTCTACCATTAGGTAGATGTATTTTTTCCAATAGACCTGTGATACAGGCTGTCAAAACAACTTTGCCAATTTCAGTAGGGTTCCTTGTGAATCCTTTCATTTCACTTTCGATTAATGGCCACTCAGTTGTTCTAATCTTCAATATAAGCAGGTCCGTAGATAGATTTTTCCTGTCTATTTATGTTGCAAGACAGTGGTTCCAAATTTGAAGGTTCTGGAGCAGTGGGTGTGGGTTTTTTGCAAGCTACCATAGGTGCTTGTATGGTCAGGCTTTTAATAGAAAAAACAATATTTTTAAAGTTAGTTGGTTTTACGAATCATCTTTCCATGAGATGTAACATTTTTCTGAACCATGGCTTGGGAGCATCTTTCTTGCTTACAGCTTTCCCTGTATTTTTCTACGTATGTTCTTCTCTGTAGCAACCAACTGTTATGATCTCTGGTCTATTCAGTAGGCTTAAAAATAAAAATGGGTTATAGAGAGGTTGTGGTGTCTTCAGTAAAGTGCTTCAACTGAAGTTGTTTTTAAAAATGATTGTGGTCACTACTGTATAAAGCAATGTAAAAGCTCAGCCAGGTGGTGGATTTTTATTCACATTTTTTTAAATATGAGCTCTTAAAATTACCATGAAAAAATATATAAAACCATGGGAGGACAAGGTATGTGATGCTAGCTGTGATCAACAGAATTGCATTATAGATTCAAATTTTTTAATTGTGTGTAATTATACCTCTGGTGCTTCGTGTATGTAGTATCTTTACTCAACCTAATAATAAAGAATAAATACGCTGAATAAGCAAGCTTTCTTTGTCTCAAGAAAGTACATTTGTGTATAGTACAGGTTGCTACAAAATACGTATATTTTTAAAATAAGAATTAGGAAAATAGAGCTATAGGGGATGTGGTTGAGAGTGGGAGATGGTATTTTTCTCTTTACAACTGAGATGAGACTTGCCTACATTGAAAAGAAAACTAAAGCCAAACTTGTTGCCCTTTTTATGGCACTTGGTACCTGTGATTCCTGTATATTGTCTTGAGCTTTCTTGCTTAAAGAGGCTTAGGAGCATTTCCTGTGGAGCCATGTCAAGGAATCAAATTGGGATTGTGGAATAGTAGTGGAATAGTATGCAGCCTTTTGAAAGACATTATCTGAGAATGCACAGAACCAGATCTTTAGTGGTGCCTGAATCTGGTTTTTGGTTTAAACTGCATGGTGGGCTGAGAAGATTTCCAGGTGGATGGAGGAAGGTTGCAGGGTTTCAGCAGGTTGTCTTTGTGACTGGAGAAAATGAGATAAACGTGTCAGTATCGGAAAGCTGATGTTCTGCTAGTGAAAGATACCCCATAATGGGAGTTGTTTATCTAGTCAATGTGTGTGTAGACTTCTTTATTTTGTGTGTTTTGTCATTGGTTTGTTTTCTAAATGCTTTATGTCTGTGTTCAGGGTTCTCTATACCTGAATAAGACTCGGCATGATAGATAATAACTGATTAAACTGCTTGTTAAAAACATCACTGTACAATTTCTAAACAATGTAAAAAAGTGGGAAGGAAAAAGTTGAGATTTGTTAATTTATGCATTTTAGGTTATGATTTAATGATGGAGTTAAGTTTTACATTCTTTGTATCTTTTTAAAATAAACACAGAAGTCCCTGTCTCTCACCCACTGCTGCCATTGTTTTCAAATGAAATAAAACCTCAAAAAAACAGCAAATCTGAATTTTATGCCAAAATTTTACTAACCGCTAGAGGACTCTCTTGGTTTTTGTATCTGACTAATCTCTGCTCAGGTGGTTATCTAAGTAGTAAATACAGATGATAATTTTCCAGAGATTGTTTTTACAGTGATGAGTAATCATGAACCATTAAATACCTTTTAAATAAGTGGGGTTTATGGGGTGTAAAACTATCTTTAAAAACATTGGGGCAGCAGCAGTTTTTGATAGCCATCTCTATCTAATTGCTGTGTATTTTGAGGTATTTCTGTGGGAATGGTATAAAGGTTTTCAAACTTACAAACTGAATTCACTTGGCTGATAATGACTGGCCTTTGAACAAAACGGACCTTTTTTTATGTTAATGCTTTTTTTTTTTTTTTCTTTATTTTTAGTGGGCCTGTTCCAGTTTTGGTCATGAGTCTTCTTTTTATTGCTTCTGTGTTTATGCTGCACATCTGGGGTAAATACACTCGTTCATAGACACAGCTGCCAGCTTAAAGCATACATCTTGGACCAAAAATATGGTGGATCCTGGTTGTTCTTGGAAAGAGACTGGGGAAGCTTCCTGTCACCTATTGAAGTCCTATCAACTTCGGCTCTAAAACCGAGTTAATTTCTCAGTTCTCTAGTTGGGCAGGTTTAAAGTCTGTCATGTCATTTTATATTTGTATCTGTACACTTAGAAAACAGATATTGCAATAAAAGTTGTATATGGAAATGGAAACAGTCTTAACTGTATTTTTTCCTCCTGTTCCAACATACCATGACTAAAACATTATACTTGTGGTTTTCATATATAATCATGTTTCAGAGTAAATGCCATTTGACCCTTCAGATTTTTCTAAACTATATGTTGTTACATACTTTTATGCCAGATGATCTGGCATTTTTTTGAATGTAAGAGGCAAAATCAGATGCACAAACATGCAAAGGTAACAAACATGTTTGAAGTAAAACTGAGATATGGTAGCTTAGCTGCTCATGTTCTGTTCACTCCAGAAAAATAGCTGGATTTATTTATTTTCCTAACTTTACTCATTGCTTGTGATACATGAAAGTACATAAGCATGCTTGTTTTTCAAACTGCACTTCAGGAATAACATGAACTGGTACCTGATTTTAAAAAGAATAATTACATGGCTCTCAGAGACATGTTTCTTCTGCAGATCCAGACTCTTTCAAGGAGTCGTAGGGAGGAAAATGCAATGGGAGGACTGTAAAAGCAGTGGTTGCATTTTAAATAACAGGACATGCAAATGAGCTGAGCTACAGCTAAGTGGCTCTTCACATATCTACTCCAGTTTTCTTCTGGGTGTTCTTTGTTTTCCTTTTGAACAGTCACTTCTTCCTTCTTTAGTTAAAGGCAAATACATACTTGTGCATTAGAATAATGTTTCAGTTGTTTCTCACTGCTAGTGTGGTCTTGAGAGTTGAGTAACCAAATCAGTCCATACAGTTTGACATTATTTTAGCCTGCTGGGTGTGTTATGATTCCTGTTTGAATATCAGCTTGTAATAGAACAAAATCAGCTATGAACTTAGAAAAGGGACAGGCTTACTTCTGTACAGCCTACATTTCATTTAACTGAGTATAAAAAAGTTGACTGCTTTGACAGTGCTGTCCTTGATTAAATACTTTGTTTTCTAGAATGACCCGTATCATAGATTTTTGCATACACTGTCAAAGAGTCTAATGTCTCTGGTTTTGTGCAGATTATTTTCCATCCCTTCTTTGCTTTATATTTTGGGAGTGTGAACTTTTCTGTGGTTTAAAAAAAAAAGACTTGCTGCTTTAATTAACGAAAGAAGTGATAACTTCAGTTGGATTCAGCAAGCTGAAACATCCATAGCTTCCTTTGATCTTGTACATGATCAAAGGACAGGTTTCTCTAGTGTATCTTTCCAATTTGTGATCATTTTAATGATGATCGTGAAAGTACTAGATATTCGTGCTTGTATTTTTAGCATTTAATGTACATGATCTATAGTGGATTCTTGCTGTCAGTGTTTTGTAGAAGGATGTCAGCTTCACAGAAATATAGATAAAGAAATGCAGGTTGTAAAGACTTACCAGAAGTTTGGCCAGTAGTGAATATGAAGTTCTATTTGGCCTGGGTGAGTGAATTATGACCGTGTTGATAAACAGCAGCTAATCTGTAATGCAGAAAACTAGTGTCTTCTGGTAATAAGTGGAAAAGAAGAAAGGATGATAATTTCAAAGCTTCATATCAGGCAACTAGAAATGAGTAAGACTTTCAATTTTTACACCTATTTGTAAGCAATCGAAATACAAGCTTGGTTGAACTGGCTGTTAGAAATTATAAATATCTTCATAGTTTACTTAAGTGCTACAGAAGGCTCTAAGTCCACAAAAATCTTTACTTTGTCTCCTTAACAATAAAGGTTCAGGAAATCTGGAATAACTTTTATTTCCATATAAGATATGATTAAGTACTAGAACATTTTATTCTTAACTTAAAAACCAATAAAAATATTTGCAACCTCAGGCTCTGTTATTCCTCAAGTGAAGAAGGGGTTTTATAAGGAAATGGTCCTGTTGTACATGAGTTCATATGTGTCACTTAAACTTTCCCTCCCCCTGTAATAAATCTGAGTATGTAAGCCAACTTCAGTCTGATTTCACAGAGGAGTAGAAGCTGACAGACACTTATTCTTGAGAGCTGGATGGAACAGGTAGCTGGTGGAAGAAGAAGTTCCTTCTTAGCAAAAGGCTTTCACTTTTACCTTGTTACCTAGGGATAATAGGAGGAGAGCTACACTTCTTAACTGCTTTGACAGGAAAACCTTTAATATGCACCTTTGTATGTGCTGAAGTCAATCACCCACAAGCTATGGATCTGTAGGGATGGGGGCTTCATTAGATGTTGCAGAGCTACCTTTTTACTTTTGCTGTCTGTGCAGAAACCAGCTGTACTACACAAAACCCAATATATATATATTTTTTTTTTTCCTCTAGGCTTCACTACTTGCTGGTGTCCATCTTTAGCCATATATACTGTGCCTCTCATAATCACTCACAAGGTTTCTCATTCTTGAAGGGACCAAAGGGAAGGGCAGTTGTTCAAGTGCAGAACTCCTGACTGCCCCATACATACACAGCTCTTTTGCAGCAAAAGGATTTTTTTTTTCCCTTTTATCACATTAGACACTGTATCTACCCTCCAGGAGAACCCGTTGGCTCTTTCCAGTGTCTCATTTATCTCCAGCTGTTTCTTAAGCTCTCAGCCTATCAGATATAGCATCAACTGGTGTAAGCTCTCTTCAGTACTGTTCACAGTAAGTTACAATGCCTTTACCACTGGCATACAGAAATATCTGTGTTGATCCAAGCATCCGCATGTGTGTGGTTGCTCCATCAGTTCACAAATACAAAAGGATGTGTCTCTGAAAATGGAAGATGGAACACCCTTATTCAACTGCACCATGACAGCAGTGCAGAGAAGCAAACAGAACAGCTTGTGTTCTCTCCTTCAGCTGTGTTGGCTAGAGATGAGTGGATGCTATACTGAGATCATGCAGTGAGGGCTAAATGATTTTATAAATATATTAATGGATTCTCTGGGGGTCTTGATTTCTTTTTTTATTTTTCCTGTGTGTGTCTGAAAAGAGAAATGCCTCTTATTTCTTCAAATGCTAACTTGTTACCTACTTCCAGTGTTGATAATAAGGCTGCACTTTATATTATCATATGAGCTGTTTGTATGAATTTGTATCATAGAAGGCTATGTTTGATAGACTTGCCATTTTTAGTAAATTAGTGAGCTGCAAGAGGGGACTGTCTGCCTTTTTGTGGTTTTTTTTTGAGGGGAAAATGGTATAGCATTTGTGATTTCTGCTTTGACTTCAGAAGTTGATTAAAAGAAAAGCAAGCAAAGCAAGAGCAGGTGTGGTTATTGAGTACAACCCATCGTGATCTTTTCTTCTTCCTTTTATATTCTAGTTGTCTCTTTTTTTTCTGGAGACTGCCAATTATACTGAATTGTGCCATGGAGTAGGAAAATGCTCTGATGCAGAGATAGGGCAGGTAGTAACAACAGTGAACAGAACAGACCCATTTTACCTATGACAAACTCCCAGTTCAGATGTGGGTCACCAGAAATTTGACACCTTTATCTCAGATTAGGCTGCATGTTGTAAATAATTATTCCTGTTTCTTATTTTGAAGGTTTTATTACAGAATAATGTGTGTTTTTTTTGACAACAAGAAATGGAGGAATTATTTGAAGTTATGCTGTCATGTCATAAAACAAAATTAAGCAAATCTTCTTTCATGCACTGTCTCTTCCAGGGGCTTCTTTGCCTTAATGTTAACAAAGTGAAATTCTAGCTAGTTTAGTGTTGTTTTGTTTTTTTTTCAGTTCAAGCATTTATCACGGAGTAAATATACTGACATGTTTTCTTCCTCTGATGCTACAGACAGATATCAAATTTGTTTACAAATGCTGCAGAGTAAGACGTTATCTCAGTGTTATCTCATTATTCCAAAATAAAATCAGAACTGAATTTAGGGTCAGTATGTTTCAGTTCCAGAGGGGTTGCATCCCCAACATCTAGTAATTATCAAGCACCATTCTGTGAGACCTTCCAAGCTTATTAGCTACTGATCAAATTGTTTTTGTAGTAAAGCAACATGAAAAGAACCTAAAACAATGTAGCCTTACATTCTCAAGATAGCTGGTAAGTAATGTTGTTCCTTTTTTACATAAAAGTACAGTTAGACTACAAGCATATGTTACAATCAGTGGAAGAGAGCATATGTGTTCCTCACCTCAGAAAGACACCTGTGAGGGGAAAAAAAATAACAGCATGATACAAACTTCTGAGAAGTTTGTGAAGGACCAAACTATTGCAATAGAGTGTGGATCTGAACCTGAGGCAGTTATGAGGCTTGGTAGACCTTGCTGTCTAATTTTGTTCTATTGTTTTTTCTATGCTTCTTGCTGAAAAGTTACAGGGTTTTTTTAAATTGCCTTTTATGGCATTTGGACATGACTTGAGCAAAGAAAAACTTTACAGAAGGTCAAAAACGTGAATAGAGGAACTCAGAGTGGTGGGTTGTAGAATCAGAGCCTCTCTGTCCTCGTTTCTGGGTGGAATTAAATAATTTTGATCTCCCTGCTGTCTACATGCAAAATTATGATAAAATTGCCTTTACTGAAAGAACGAGTTTGTGGAGTGAGATATTTCCCTGCTTCTGAACAGAGAAAGAACCTCACAACACCTGCGGGAAGAAGAAAAATGGTTTTGCTAGTTCTGCTTCCAAGGACATTTTCCACCTCTAAGTTCAAATTATTTCTAACAACTTTCTGCCCCGCGACAAACTCAAGAACAGAAGAGCATCTGATAGGACCTCTTGTCTTGGACCACTGCATGAAGACTGACTGCTTTGAGGGGGAAAATTTTTTAGTAAAATTACTTCCTGCGGCAAACCTTGAATCTCTTGTTTAGGCTGTAGAGGCTATGGCAGAATAGCTTCTCTGAAAAAGCATCTATGTTTTGCAGATAGCACAGAAGTTTTTATTTGCCCTAGAGACCAAGCAGGGTAGTTCACCTAGTAGTTCCTTCCTGACATCTAAGGAGTGGCACTGTTTAATTCAGTGATAGCCCTTTCTCCCTACTTTTTCCTGGCTTTTCTTGAGGATGAGTAACTTGATGAATTCCTTTTCTTTATGTGAGTGATACAGAAATCTTACGTATC